CTGTTACAAGCTTTCATAAAGAGTTATTTTCATAAACCTCTTCCAGGCATAGTGGCACATACCTTTAATTCCAGTACAGTACTGAGGCAGGAAAACTGTAAGTTGAACACAGCCTATTTATGGAGACTTACCAAGATCCTGTCTCCAAGAAAAAGATGAATCTATAGTTCAGTACAAAGGCAGTGAGTTCAATCTCTAGTATCACTCACACACACCCTCAGAAACAAAAGTCTACACACATGTACTTCTGTCCCAGTGCATCTTACTCATCATTCTTTCATAAACTGTAACCTACAACTTCCTTGCCATATATCTGTGTATGTGTATTTACAAAATAAACAAAAAATGTTTTCAGATGGGTTCTTTGCTGTGCTGCCCAGGCGGCTCTCAAACTCATGACTCAAGCAATCCTCCTATTTCTGCATCCTAAATACTAGATGGGACTAATGCTGTGTTCTACCATACCCAGCTCAATAATTTTAATAGGAAATATCTGTTTATCACCTGTCACATATTTCTTCTTCTTCTTTATTTTTTTCTGTGGTACCAGGGATTGAACTCAGGACGCTGCGGTTGCCAAGCAGGTGCTTATTCTACTGAGCAATCTCTCCAGCCCCATATATTTCTTCTTTAAAATGTTTTTCACATAAGCAGAATACTCACCCTCTTCCATTAATCCTCGAATCTGTTCATCTTTCTCTTTCAAAAGATCTGCAGTTTCACTACTATTTAACCTAACGGAAAGTTCTTCTTTTATAGTTTTGATTTCCTAATTAAAAAAAAAAAAAAAACCTGTGAATACCATAAAGAATTACTTTCATGCTATCATATTTTTCTATTATTTTCCCTACCTAAAAATTAAATCTAGACTGGCAAGATAACATAGCAGACTAAGTGCCTGCTTAGGCAAGCACAGGGACTGGGGTTCAATCTCCAGTACCACAGGCCACATGGGCCTCACCCCTGGGCATGGCAAGGTGCCACCAAGAATGGGCATGGTGGCGCATGCCCGTAATCCCCAGCACTGGGAAGGCTGAAAACAAGAGGATCACTATGAGTCCCAGCTGCATAGTATCAAATACGTTAAGAAAAAAATTAAAGTCATTATCACATTTGTATAATGAGTTTTGCTCAGCTAGCCTATTAGTTTGGTTACGTAAGACTAATAAAACAGTTTTTCAATACGATATATAAAAGCTAAATTAAGGGGCCAAGCAGATAGCTCAGTAGAATAAGTGCTTGCCTGGCAAGTGCAGGGTCCTGAGTTCAATCCCCAGTACCAAAAAAAAAAAAAAAAAAAAAAAAAAAAAGCTAAATTAAGATAATAAGCTAGTTTTATAATATACAGAATACAAACAAAAAATAAGGCTCTTGGCCACAGCAGACCCAGAGAGATCCAGCTGTACCGGGAACATCAGATCTCCTGTGAAGCATCTTTTCAGCAGTTTCTCCCTACTCCCAAGACCCCAATGAAGTGATTTGGTCTCAAAAAAAAAAAAGGTAACTTTCAATACCCATCTTCACTATCTCTACACATATATTCTCCAAGTTAAGCATTACATCAAGAACAATAGTACAGTAGGGAAAGAAAAAAGTTGATCAGGTAGTCTTAAGTTAGTAGTGTCTGAAATAATCTAGCTTAACTAATGTTCAATCAAAGCACCCAAGTATAAGACAGTGCATGATTTCCTGTCTATATGAATATACAGAAAAATTATAAACACTGACAATGGTGAAGAAAATAATAACTAACATAACATAGAAAAATACAGAGACAGTGTCATTAGTAATAGTTTAGGTTCAAGTAATATTTACTAATCCTAGTTTTTACCAACTTCTGATATAAACAAATATCCCAATTAGAAGCAACAACAAAGGCTCCCTACCAGGGGTAACTCTGCTATCAAGGGGACATTAGCAAGCCACAGCAACTGGCTTAAGGGAGAGTGCTCCTAGAATGGCATGAATAGGGAATAAGGAGGCTGCTGACCATTTTACTAAGGAAAGAACAGCTCCCTACAAAACAGAACTACTCAGCCCACAATGTCCAAACATTTAGAGTGAAAATTTTGCACTTAAATAAGTCAACATTCCTCCCAAAAGAAAATAATAACTACAAATTTATATTTTACAATTATGGAAATTAAAATATTTTGACTTAAACTATATATGTTTGAGGTGGTTAGAGAATAAAGAATAATGATAATTTTTAAAAATGCATATAGTTCTATTTAAAGTATTATTTACTTTAAGGGACTATCATCCACAAAATTATTCTAGTAATCTTTGATACATATCCTGCGAGAATTTGCATATAAATTACACAAATTAATATCAGCTTAGTTCATTTAAAATATCAAAATCTATAAATTTAAATATATCAAAAATCTACAATTTACTCGTTAATATGTTATTTTCTCTTAATCTTTCTTTTCATAGTTTAATTATTTTAAATTTCTATTACCTTTTTAGCAGCATCTCTCTCTTTGCAGGCTAGCTGAACTTTCTTTTCTGCTTCCGCAATTCTTTGAGTAAACTCTTCTTTCAAGGAAGAGATGCTACTGCTTTCTTGTTTCACTCTGAACATTTCACTAAATTTACAATATTTGAGAATGAAAATTGTTTAGATACTGGAAAAGTAACAAGACATGGTCAGTTCTCCAACATATACCTCATTAAAACTGATTTGATTTTTTATATTAACTTTTAAGAGAAAAATTCCTTGTTAAATTTATTTCAAAATAGGTCAACTAAATGAATTAGAAAATACAACGTTAAAAAAATACAATGTTGGGGGGGAGAAAAAAAAATACAGGGGCTGGAGAGATGGCTCAGTGGTCTAAAGCACCTACTTGGAACAAGCTTGGCAAAGCACAGGGACCGCGGTTCAATCCCCCAGCACCACATGCCA